CCCTCTGCGAATTCTGTTTTACGTCTTATATGGATTCAAAACGCGTTCCTCTGAGTGGTAATTTGAGTTTGGGAAACAGGAAAAAGTCACACGGTGCAAGATCAGGTGAATACGGTGGCTGTTCGATGGTATTTATTGAATTTTTGGCCTTAAAATCGTTGATAATGTTGGCTCGGTGCGAGGGAGCATTATCGTCATGAAAAATCCATGAATTATCCTTCCACAATTGAGGCCGTTTACGGCGGATAGCTCTCACGACCGATGCCTAGCTCTCGTGCTATCTCTCTAACACTCACATGAGGATTTTGGAACACGATTTCCTTTGCCTTTTCAATGTTTTCGTCGGTGGTAGAGGCCGAAGGTCGTCCAGAACGCGGCATGTCTTCGACGGTCGTACGACCGTCCTGAAAGGCTTTGTACCACTCATAAACTTGAGTTTTCGATAAAACTGATTTCCCATAAGCCTTTTGTAGCATTCGCAACGATTCTGCACACGAAATTTCGTTCGAAACACAAAATTTGATGCAAGCTCTTTGTTCAATATTTTTTTCCATTGTTTTTTTCGCAGCGCACTACTGAGGTGAACTGGTTTCAACAGCTGTCGTAAACGAACTGTCTGACAGATCGCGCTCATTTTTGGCATAGTAATTAAGGACAGTGCTGCCAAACTACATAAACTTAAAATATCGAAAAATATACAGCGCGCGAATTTTAAATGAGAATTTCCGAAAACCTTTCGGTCACAATGTATGTATTATGTATCGATACATATTCAAAATCTAAGGGTATTTTATAATTATGAGTAAAAGCTCAGTTGGAACAAATGTTTGTATTTTAAATTAGCATCAAAGAATGAGTTTTAATAGAGTAGATTTCGATTTCAAATTTTGAAAAAATACCCTATCAGACTGAAATTCATTTTTTGAATAAATTTAATCCTAATAAAATATTATTATATGCAGATAATTTTCCACAGAACATTATTTATATACCAAATTGAAACCCTTTTGATTTATTATAAATATAAATTTTTTTACATAACAATTTTTCTAACAAATAACATATACTTTTTAACGCATAAATACAATTTTATTTTAAATTATTTATATAATACTTTTTATAAAGCAATAATATTCCATTATCACATTATAAACATTGCTAGTCATCTTAATTTTATAATATTGCTTTTATACGTCTGAGTTTTTATGTGTCCTTAACGCCTTTATCATTTCTTTAGCTTTTCTTCGTACATTCTTGCCAGTTGTAGTTTTTGGCAAGCTATCCACTATATAAACACCCCCATGTAAATGCATACGTTCCTGTAATCTTTTTGCTACATGCTCTCTTATATCTAACTCACTAAGCTGACTACCATTTTTAACTATCACTGCAGCAGTTGCACGATCCATATCGACTGCATCATAGCTACTGAAAACACAGCTTTCAACAACATCGGACAATTCAGCAATACAACCTTCAATTTCACTTGGTCTATAGTCCACACCTCGATATTTCATAACGTCTTTTTTACGATCCACTATATATAAATAAGCATCTTCATCAAAATAACCCAAATCACCTGTGTGAAACCATCCCTGCTTATCAAGCATTCCAGCAGTTTCTGCTTCGTTATGCAAATACCCATGCCAGTCAGTACTATTCTGTATAAGAAATTCACCAACTTCGCCAATGCCCAACTCTTTTCCATCTTCATTGACAACTTTTACACTATAACCAGGTAATAGCTTACCAGCTGATTTGGGCTTATTGAAATTTTTATTTGTGGATGTTATACCCCATTCTGAAGCCCCATACAGTATTGTCAATATTTGTTGTTTATTCAATATTTTAAGAGTTTGTTCTATAATTGGCACTGGCACTATGCCACCACCACACATTAGTAATTTCAATGACTTTATATTTCTGTCTCCGTCTGAATAACTTTTAACAATTTGTGCTAATTGACTTGGTGTGGTAACCATCATCGATATTTTATATTTTTCTATCAAATTATAGGCTACTTCAGCATTTGTACCCGTCGAAGTAATTATACGTGTACTGCCCGATAGTAATGTATTTACTACTATAATGAGACCTGTTATCCAATTAAGGTTGCTGAAACTGAACAAAACTTCTTTCTGATCGCCTATACTGTAAATATACAAAAATCATTAGTATTTACTTCACATGAGGAGTATAGTACTCTGAAACATACTTATATAAACGAAGAATTTGTTGATTTGAAAAATGCATAGTTTTTGGAAACCCCGTTGTACCAGAAGAGCACATATATAACATTGTTTGTGCAGGTCCAAGTACAAGTTTGGAAGGTCTATAATAAGTGTGTAAACTAAATGTTTTAATTACATTTTTAATAAATACCTTACACAAAATTGTTTATTTCTGTGTGGTTTTTAAATATCTCATGAAGTCTTTGCACTTCTGCTATTTCATCATCAATTATTAATACCAGTGACTTCAATTTAAGATCCTCTAAAGCCAAAGAAAGTTGTTCGTAGTCAGCAGCGTCACAAAATATGATTTTCGGACGAGTCATACCAAAAAGATGAGATATAACACCTGCAATAATGTTCATATTTTGTGTTATAAATTGACATTAAAAAAAAAAATAAAGTTTAAAGTTTTGGATGTCTTTTAGATGTAAATTTATTTAAGAAATGGAATTTATATTCAAACTATATTAACTTATCTAAATGTTTTTTTTAACTTATATTTGATATGGTTTTTATTAAAATGAACCTAATTCGTGAAGCCTAAGTGGACTGGATTTTTATTAGGATCGGACACCATTCGCTTCCTATAAAATTTTAAGATAAAAGATTCCCAGCTGAAACAATAATATCAATTATTTATTTATCAATGATTTTATATAGCACATTAAAATACTATCATAATTCATAGATTCAGGTGAGAGATCGCAATACTTACTAAACAAATAAAAAGACAAGCAAGAACAGATAAAAACGTAATTTACGGCAAATTGGCTAGCGAAGTGGTTAGCCTTAAGAAGGATGGGAGTGCCACAAAAAATTATAAGCATTACAAGAAAAAGCTAAGAACAATCAACATGCAGAGTCCTACATGTTGAAAACGGAAAATTCAGTGACTCCTTTGACTCATCAACTGGTGTGAAACAGGCAGCATCCAAACGTCATTGTTATTTATTGTAGTATTAGACTCAGTATAGAAAATTTTAGCACGTAAAATAGAGGTAACAATTGGAGGCTCAATTCTACCCATGAAGACCTTGATTACGCAGATGACATCATCCTGCTCTCGCATAATCACCAACATATGCAATCCAAATTGACCCAGTTGTATAACCAATCCTCGAAAGTCGCTCTCAAAATAAATATAAGAAAAACTGAATTTATGCGCATTCTTTACTCGCTTATTAATGCTCTATTAATGTTGAAATTCAAAAGCGAAAATATGGGTGGATAGGCCCTGCGTAACCCTTATGGCGATATCCCCCACGTAGCGCTAACAAGGAATCACCAGGGAACCTGGCGTAGAGGCAGGCCAACGACAACATGGCGAAGAACAATCAATACTGAAACTAGCAAATCGTTTAACAGACTTCGATAAATTTCGCAAAATAGAGATAGTTTGAAATTATTAAGCCCCTAATGGAGTATGGAATAATATAATATTAAAATATACTATATATTTTATAGAGCTGTAATATATATCTGTAATATATCTTATGTATAAATACATTTTACATTTAAAAAATATCTGATATAGATTAATAATTGCATTCTCATACACTATGAAATGTACTAATCGTGTTGCATAAAATATATATCTGGTAGTTGTGTAGAATCATTGGATCATACACTATTTATGAATAAAGCGGACTTGAGTTAAGATAACAGTTTTGTATTATGTATAATGTGCCTTCAAAGAGAAGTAAAAAATTAATCATTTATGTATTAATTCGATAGTTGATTATATATTACATAAACGTATATATATTAATTTATATAATAGAGCTCCTCTTTAAAACATTGTTTCGAATTTTATTGTTTCTTCGTTGGATCGGAATGTTATCTTATATATGTTAGTTAAAAAAAACTGATTTTAAAATGAAATAAAAAACAGGAAACATTAAAAAAACGAACAAACCCCCTAACCGAAAATAATCTCATTATTAATCTCGAAAGTGATTAAAATTTTTGCTAAAAATTAATTTTAATTTGTTCAAATTATTAAATACCATTAATTAAAAATTAATTTAATTTGTGTTTTTACAAAGTATATGTACATAATTATAATAATTTAATTATTGATAACTAACTTACTTTTATCACTTTGGTTGTAAATGGGATGTAATGGCGTACAATTTAACCAACAACCTATAGCAATAGGAAGAACAAAAGCTGAATTTTTTGCTATCAAGCCCACTACATCGTTATGTGTAAAATTATGGGAACGTATAAAATTTGCTATGCTGATACCATATTGCAAAACTTCTCCATGTGTTAAAGATATATTTTCCGTATCGGAAATCTATGAAAAGGAATTATCTATGATAATCAAATTTTGATATATACAAGTATTTTACCTGACAAATTCTTTCGGCATTTATTTGCATTTTACTTAGTAATTGCTCTCCGAATGATTTCTGATAATCAACTTCGTTACTATTATCAACACGTGGGGGCCCCCACCAAATTTTCCGCTGCTCATCATATTCCCAAGCTTCCGCAACCATTGTCAGCAGCTGTTGTTATTCGCACTTTAAGTTTCAAACATTGACTAAACATCTGAGCAAGAAATCTATTCTCACAGTAAACATTTCACAATAAAACCGATAACCCTTCAAGGCCCGATTAAAATGTGATAAGCGTTTCTTCGTTTAAAAAAACTTATCAACTGATAACTGCTCGTATTTTCTATAATAGCACAACAGATGGCAAAGTGGAATGAATTTAAAATAAAAATAAAACTAAATTATTTAATAAAAATAAATAACAAAATTCGTTTATTTTTGTAATTTCATAGAAACAAAATTATACACACAAGAACTAAAAACTACCATTTTTCGTAACCATTTTTTTGCACTTGCCATTTTTTGCCTAAAGCTAAATCTCTTGCTTGATTTCTTAATATTTTACCACTGCCAGTTTTTGGTAGTTCATCTACAAAGAATACACCACAATGCAATTGTTTGTGTGAAACAACTAAACGTTTTGCCACATATTCTACTACTTCCTGCTCACTTAGTTTACTGCTTTTCAGTTTAACTACCGCTGCTGCAGCTGCATCGCCATCAAAATCATTCCACAGACCGAAAACACAAACTTCTACAACATCCGGTAATTCAGCTACGACTTCTTCAATTTCATTTGGGCAATATTGCATACCGTGAAATTTTAACACATCCCTCTTGCGATCAACCACATACAAATAATTATCTGTATCAACATAACCTAGATCCCCAGTATGATACCAACCTTGGTAATCTTGCATATGTTTGGTTTCATTTGGATTGGCATAGTAGCCATTCCATAATTTGCCGTTGCTCACCAATATTTCTCCCGTTTCACCATAACCAAGACTACGACCAGCCTCATCGAGTATTTTCAATTTTATGCCCGGCACCAATTTGCCAACAGAACTTGGTTTATTTGTGCCCATATTTGCTGAAACACCACCACACTCGGTAAGCGCATAGCCATAAGACACAAATCCTGCATTAAGTAGGGCTTGCAATTTCAGTAAATTCGGCACATAACAATTACCACCTCCAATGCTAAGGAAGCGTATGCTATTCAATTTTTCTGCAGTTACAAGTGAGCATTTAATCAAACGGCTTACATGTTGCGGTGATAATGTTAAAATCGATATTTTATACTTTTTCACGAGTTCCAGTAAATAATCAGGTGAATAAGGTTTATCTGTAATAATGCGTGTGGAACCATGTCCACAACTAAATAGCATACTAAACATGCCTGGAGCCCAGTCAATTGTATTGAATGCAAGCAGTACATCTTGAGCTGTGACAAAGCTGTAATTAAAAATCTCATTATTATTATTTCATATGAGTACGATAGTAAAATTGAAAATCATTAAATTTTAGAAGCTATTCGAAAATATGCGTTATAAAGATTTATATAACTAACTTACCATAAAGTGACTCACTTTTTAGTTTCAGAGAACTAAAAAAGCTATAGTTTGTATACGATGCATATATGCAAAACCGTCTACTTCCGACACTTAACACATTAAAATCTTTGATCATTTAAATTATGAAAATAAGCTATTTTTATTCTCTCATTATAAGGAATTTCAAGTTCTTAATAATGCTTAGATATAAATCTTTTACTTCAAATTTATTTATTTTTATTACAGATTAAACGAAGGTTAGAAATGTGGAATTTTAGTCTAAGAAAAAAATGTTTTACACACTCTTTGAGCTCTATTTCCTCATAAGTATCTGCACTGCTATCATTATTTCGGACAGCATTGATATAACATACAAGTCAATGTATAAAGTCCAAAAAGTAAATTTTTATAATTGTACTCGCTTATTTAGATACTCTCAGCGTTAGACTCGACTTAGTAAACTTATTAATAGGGGACTTAAATCAGTCAGTCTGATCGGCAACAGAGAGTCCAATAACATACCAATATCAATTAAAAATATTTTTTTTTTTAATATATTTTTGGTTAGAATAAAATAAAATAAAAACTCACCCATAATCAAATAAACATGCCGTATTTGATATACAAACTGCTTTAGGTGGTCCTGTAGTACCGGAAGTGCTTAGTATAGCAACTGTCTGATCACCACCTAATTTTAGAATCTCAGGGCTATAAAAAAAAAAATTAAATAAATATTATTAAATATTTAACACTTAATCTAAAGAGAATACAAATTTTGCTATTTAGTAATAATAATATATACATTTAGTTGGGGTCCAATTTTCTAAAAATAAATTTTAATATTTCTATTGAGAAAATCAAGATTTTAAAACTTTTGAATGTTAGTATAATTTATAGTCAATATTGTCTGTTATGGTAAAATAAATTGAATTCTTTGCTTTGTAAACTAATTATTTGGGATGCACCTTTCGGGAATAAACTTTATCACTAAAGATGATCTCAAAACACAACAAAAATTTATTTTGAATTGCTATAAAGGCCAATGTTTAAAAATCTGATCAATCATATGTAATTATTTATAAAGAATCTTCTATGTGGTGATATAAGAGAGTGCAGTTTTTTCAGGATCTAACATCTAAATGGTTATTCTTGATTTGCATCCACACTTCGGTACATTTACTTTTTTAAAGAACTAAATTCTGTAGGTCGATTATATTAAACATAAATTTTTAGTAATGTCCGATACGTGTCTCACATAGATTCATTATTTGAATAATAAGTTTTAAGAAATTCTATATAATAAAAATTTGTAATAATTTGATCGATAAACGTTTGCAAACAAAATTTTGACGAGAATATGACTGCTAGTAGAATATATACAGTAATGATTTTATCACCTTTGATGGGTAGAATCATGAGTGCTGCATAATCTGTTTTAATAGCCTCTCTGATTTATATATCTTAATTTCATAATTTAATTTTATATACAGGTTTTATCTAGAGACAAATTTCTAACTTTTAAAATTTCGAAATTAGAAAAACTAATATTTATAACATTGCTTTTAAAATTTAAAAAATTGCGAATTAAATAAATATTAAATATTTAACTAAATATTCAAATATTTTATCGATTTCATATCTGTCAAATAAATCGAGTTTGTTTAATCTGTTTAGAAACTAAAAAAATATATGTGTATAAACTTTTTTTTTGTCACTTTCTTTTCTATATAATTCATATTATACTTACGTATAAAATAGTTCAGATTTTGTCGGTTCCAATAAATCCTCAATTTTAGGTAAATCCCATCTGTGATATTTTAAAGTAAAAACTTTAGCATTTAATATTTTACTAATAATGTTTAAGCGATCGTAAATATTTCCATCACAAAATATAATTTTCGGCCGTGTAATGCTGAACAGGTGTTTTATTGTATCTAATAGATTGGACAATTTATTTTATAAATATTAATATTATTAAATGCAATCTTTATAAAAAAGTTACCTTCATCATTATGTGGACTTATTGCATGAAACGGAGTGCAATTAAGCAGGCATCCTAAAACTAATGGCATCACATAAGTTGTATTACCACCAGCTATACCAACAACATCATCTTGTTTGAAGCCCATCGTTCGCAGATGTTGTGCTATGCGTACTGCGAAAGAGACAGCTTCAGAATTCGTCAGTGCCGTGCCATCTGCGTCAGATATCTAATATTATAAAGGAATATTCAATATTTAAAATTATTTTATCATTTTTTATACATTAGTTTAATATTAAATTGATTTTTAACATCCCTTTTAATGAAAGAAACCAAATTTTATTCTATTCTATTCCATGAATTATTGTTTTCAATAGAGAAGTTTTAATAGAACAGTATTGAAATTGCAACAGCAAAAATTTTTAGGATTTTTAAATAATTAAATATTTGGCTGACCTTCGAGTATTGTGAATGATGATATTGATGTTGAGTATTACCCAACATCAGTAATAACAATCTTTACTTACAATTTTATTAATTTCTTAATATATGTTTATAAGAATTATTCACTCATTGCTTACCTGACATATATTATTTGGATTATTGCGCATAAATGCAAACAATATTTTTCCAATCGAACAATCTGCATCGAAAAAATATTTTGCTTTCGGTCCGCTCCATATTTTTGTGTACTTGTCAAATTCGGTATCTAGATTTTCCATTACTTCACCTACCAATCTCGAAATGCGACTATCCGTTTCTGCCGTGTTTGTTAATTACGGTGAACGATTCGCAAGCTTGTTATCGACTAAATTTTTTCATTCAAGCAACAATTTTGTTTTCATTTCATAATAAAAATATCGGCCAAAAGTTATTTTCCGCTCTTTGTGTTGATATGATATCTTTACTTAACTCTAATTTCTATTAAATTAAAGGTCTGTTGCAACGTCATGACTTGATAAGACGAATTTTTGATGCATTCTTAAATTATCATTTGACAAAAAATACTGTTCGATAAGCTTAGTTTCTCTATACAAGTATTAAATATAATACAAAGGAACTATGATATAGCGATTGTCGATTGACAATATATATCGCGAAATATTTATGGGACAGTTTTTAGTAACAATTTTTAATTATAAATAGTCTTGTTTTTGTTTGAATTTTTGATAAACAATTTAAGTATTTAAAAGTAAAGAAAACATTTTATATATCTTGATAAAAGAGACATATATTTGTATTAATTTTTATTTAAAATGAATAAGCAAGTTGGAACTCAATTTATTGATTGCAATTGCAACATAAATGAAAAAAATGCTTCTAATAAATATATTAATATTTATTTAATAATAAAATTAACCCGATTGAGCATTTATGGTCCCTTAAATTATTATTCTTATTATAGCCGATCAAAAATCAATACATATTATTAAGAATCAAAATAAGTAATATGCAATCAAAATTAAAAAGAAATGTTGTACATTTAGGAAACCTCTATATTGAATTAAAAAAATAATAAGACATATTCACACATTTCACCAATAATAATTAGTAAACTTATTACTTACTTACTTAATATCCCTTAACAACACATTCCCGGATTTCAGTCTGAGTGCACGCCGTCTTCACCGTCCTACATCAAGTGCAGTCAGTGTTTCCTCATTTTAATTCAAATTGCTTTTTCGCTAGAACATCGTAATCCATTCTCACGACATGTCGTATCTAGCAGAGTCGCTGGATGTGACTAAAACTTAAACGACTTTAACTGAATTATATCAATGCCGCGATAAAGCTCGTACAGCTCGTGGTTCACTCGGATGCGGTAGTCGTCGCCCACTCGTGAGGAATAAAAATTTTTACATGGTACTTTTATATAGAAAACTGCCAGTGGAGTTTTATCAATAATATCAGTTGAGTTTAAAGTCACTCAAGGTGTAAAATACGGAACCCAGCTCATCCCGATTTTGTTCTCCCTATACTTAAATGATATGCATGACTTTTTCACGAGTGGAGTTCCTGTCAACTCAACTGAACTGATGATCTGGTTCTACTTGCAGACTCACCTGATTTATTGCAAATTATAATAGATGATCTTTTTAGGTATTGTTCAGAATGGGATATTATCACGAATCTAAATAAATCTAATATTATGATTTTCAGAAAAGGTCCTAGAGTAAGTAATTCTTTAAAGTACTTATTCAATCTTAAAATAACTCACAAATAAATTAAAAATTTTCTACACGACAGCACGTGTAGAAACTCTTTAGATTTTTTATACAAAAAATTCTATTTTCACCTACTAACACCCCAAATAATATGTTTTACTTAGAAACAGGTTTACCAACGCAGTGCAAACACATTTCGCATATGTAAGAAAAATTCTAAATCTCGCCTCAACAAGGGTTTCTCGAATAGTAGTTGAACTTACAATTGACAAAAACATATATTGAGCCAAAGATTGGGAAAATATGTGTTTAGAACTGGGTTTTTCAATAACCAGTATTTGGAGCATGGATCTTAAATTATTACACAATAATGTTATAACTTTATTCAAACGGAGTTAACACGGTTCCTTTGTCGGGAGTGCTAGGTCGGGATCTCATGACATTTATGCACAGCTGCAATATAACATTATGCACAGTTTTGATTACGAAAATACTGAGCACATATCGAGCGTACTTTTTAAATGTAGGGGCGATTTTTTTAATTTAAACGCCAAAGCATTTAATTAATCTGAACGTGATTGTTCCTTATGTAATCGTCATGAAATGTTAAATATATGTTAAAATATTGGAGTATGTTGTCTTTATGTTATTTTATGTAGCATTCTATGCCTTGACGGCCTAGTACTACAATACTTAAAAACACTTATATTAATATAAGGTACCAATGAAGAAATGCGTGCTGGACATAACTTCCGCCTTAGTACAATGCAAAGTTTATCCCAATGTGAGTTGTAGCACCCGATGGTGAATACGCAACTCTCCGCCGAATGTAAACAAAACCTGAACATTCTTCCCACGTAAATCCGAAGTACCGAATTTACACCTCCGGTCGAGTGTCGCAAGTGCAGACCTCACTCACTTCCATGCACACTTCTAGCACAAGTGTCGTCAACGCACTGGAATTTTAGTCGTTTTTTATGACAGACATGCCTTATCTCGGGAATATTCTAACCCTTTCACCGCAGGGGGTATTATTGGAGTATGTCCGTTTTTCAGGGAACATAGACGTCTTTTTTTTTTGATAAAGCACTTCTGTCTGAAAAAAAATTAAAGTGTTGTAAAATGGTAGCAATATTAATAATCTTTATGAAAAGTGTTTTAAGTTACAGAAGGTTAATCAATAATACATAATAATACTAATAATAATATAAAATGTTGATAACTGCATGCCAGGCATTCGTAGACATACTTTAATCATTATTTAATGGAAAACTAATGAGTAGATGATTTGAATATTGTTTAACTCAATACTTCTTCATGTTTATATGGTACTTTGATTGCGATAATTGCTGATATACCATTAATTTTTTGCAATAATCTAATTCCAATAAAAGTAGAGGTAATAGAGAAAAAAATTTTAATTTCATGAATTTAATTTTTTATCAATTAATTGCTTAAGGAATTCAAAAACTCAAAGACCATTACTTTATATCTTCTATGCTGATTTTTAATTAAAAATTTTATGTTCTAGGAATGATTCTATCTTCGAATAGAAATGTTGGAAATAGTAGGAATATTTCTAAATTTAAAAATTTTCATAATTTTCAAGTTTTAAGATTTCTTCACTATTGCATTCTATCCTATTCGCAGATAAATTAATATTAAAGTTTGACTTTGTACTAACAGCATTTTTAAATATAAATAGAATTTATTTTCCCAAAGATCACTAAGGCTAAATATTTGATAGAGTTCGCAGTACAGTAAGCACAAGAACTCATTTGACTAAATTTAAATATATGAATATTTTGCCACTTTTTATACAGTTTTGTACAACGAAAATATTTTAAAATTAAAAAAAGGAAATTTTGTTGTACATATACATATATTCTAATACAATTATAGATTCATATTACATATTGAATCTTATTTATTAAGTTTAGAATTTGTCAATCTACCTGTGATTTGCGAAATACAAAATATATTTTTACATGTTCTACTGTATTTACAGCACATTTATTTAAATGTACATATAATATATATAATTAGTATACACATAAATGATATCTTTATTAAACAAATTATTTGCTACCTGAAGCTACTGTTATTTATTCTTAAGTATAATAAATACTATATGTGTATTTTATTGTTTATTGTTTTATATACCTAAGACTTGTCGTATACTACTTATTGAATTAATTAATATAATACTAATATATGTATTATGTATTTAAATTAACAACGAAAAAACTAACAATTAATGCTTTATCAGCAAAATATTATTTTACTTATATTTATCGTGAATAAACTGATTATACTACAAAACAAATTTTTTGAACTCTGAGCTTTTATTCCCAACCATTGCTTAAAAATGATCTTCAGATTTATCTCTTTAATGTGTCTGGTTATACATTAAAGTAATGAAACCATTTAAAGATAAATTATTGAAACTAATTTGTTACTGTTTTGGTTTTTGTAAAATTAATTTGTAAGTCATTTTCCTAATTTTTAATATATTTATTCACCTAATGCTGATAATACTATTAAATGATTATAATTTCATTATATATTTGCTATCACAAATTTATTTGAATTTATAAAAACTAAATATAAATTTTTTGTTTAATTTTTGAGAGTCTGATGAGTCACACAAATAATTTTATAATAAAGTTAGTAAATAATTATATTCAGTCTATCGTTTGTGTCTAATACATAATATCTGAGTCACACAAATCTGCCATATGCCAAAAGTTAATAACACATTTGCTTTAATACACATATATGCCTACTGATATAATGAAAAATAAAACGTGATTTCAATTGATAAGCTAAATAAAAACAATCATAGATATTACTTTCGACTTTAGTAAAGTATTGTTACCCTTCACACAGTCATATTGCAAATAAATTATTATTTTAACTTAATACATTTTCTCAAATTATGTGATATAATAAAAATTGTTTAAAAATTATGGATACTATTAAACAATTTCATTTATTATCGACTTCATCTACAGAAATACAGAAACAAGAAGATTCTATATAAACTTAATTTGACAAGTTTAGGAACGAAAAGATTGTTATTTTCATGCTTATCGACTAATAAGTACACAAACGGGTAGACTGGAAAATATTTCTAAACCCATTTGTTTCATTATTCTAGTTAAATGAATATGGTATATCAGCATATTCGTATTTAATAGTTTATGTGATATGCGACGACCAAGTAACAAATATTTTAATAGAATTATTATACCTACTATTTGCAATGGTTAGTAGAATAAAGTTACTTACTTGCGAATTTTAAATTTTATTGTTTGTTAATCAAAAATAGATTAACAAATAATAGCATTTATATGTACTTCTAATACATAGTTGAACTCAGGGTAATTATACAATTAAATACAATTAAAAATAGTTTGTATATTGATACTTACAGGTATTGTTCACAACCAGTGCATTAATAATACATCTATAGAAAGTTATTAAATACTTTAAGTAATATTTAGACTCAGTCTTTATCATGCTATTATATACAATTATTTTTAAAAAATAATAAAACACTGGTTAAATAATCTGATCCACATCATCTACAGCAGAGTTTCTCAAACTATGTTTCATGAAGCACTTGCCATTTATTGTTTAAAGGAACTGTTCTAATATGTAAGTGCTAATATATAAGTGTTACTACTATAATATAATAAGTGCTTCCTATAACGGATAAAATAAATG